ATTTATTTATTTATTTATTTATTTTGCCCCAAAGTGAAAGGCAAAAGGGAATTTCTAAAAACATAAGTGGGGGAGGGGATTAATTAAAAGCTGGATTTAAGCTGATTTTTGTTTCATTTAGGTTTTTAAAACCAACCATCACTGTTATATAATAATTTCCAGGGCAAAAGCTATACGTCTGGCACAGAAAAAAACAGCAAACGTTTGTGGCACCTTAAAGAACAGCAAGGACATGTCAAATGGAACTTGCTCAACTTTAAAGTGCCACAAGACTCTTTTGTAATATGATAAAGCGTAAGACTCTGCTGACCCGTAGGTATTGATGGATATCAGCACTTATGGGTCAGCAGTATCTTAAACTTTATTGTTCCAAAATGACTCCATAAACAGAGTCTACTTTTGCATTATTTTTTCACCACTGATCTTACATCCATAGTGTTAACTGAATCAGTCAGTTTGAGTCTACTACGTACCATGTTCCATAGTATATTGTACTAGGTATTATGTGGAATAGTGTTCTTCCTCTGCTAAGCAGTATCCACACAGGCTGCTCTTAACACATGCAGAACCATTTCAACATCTTCCTCATGGAGTTAATGCAACAGCATAAAACTACCAGCACCCCTAGTTGTATGTCATATCCTGCCATATCTTTCAAAGCTGAAATCCAGTTACATCTAATTCTTGGTTTCAAAAAAGAAAATGATAACTCTCTGTGTTTGCACAATCAAACTGTCAATACTGATTTTCTCCCCCCCCCCTGGTTTAATTTTACATAAACTACAAACTGGATTGGAACTATGGTATTCTAGCCAACTTGAGGAAGGGCCATTATGTCCAAGGGGTGAATCTTACATAAACTACAAACTGGGTTGGAACTACTGTATGGTATTCTAGGCAACTTGAGGAAGGGCCATCATGTCCAAGGGGTGAATTTGCATTACACACTATTGAATACCAACACTAGGTTCTGTTCCCCCCCAACTCCTACAATAGAGCAGCCACATAAAAAGAAGAACTAGACAGAAAAGAAACGATACTTATATATACATACACAGCTCAATCTTTGGATTTCTCCAGGATTTGTTCGTCTAACTGTCCTTTTCCTTCGCCAGTGTTCACTGGGGTCTCTTCTGAATACTTTTCCTTTAAAGCTCATTGTGGAAGAATGAGCTCAAGCAGCAGAGAAATCTATTATATAAAAGCACATTGCTTTGACTTTTTGTCTATAACGCTTCAGTGAAGTGAAGGTTTTAGCTGTACTGTGTGAAGGGGAAGTATATCTGACCTCATCTTATGCTGTATTCACAGAAACTTCAGAGGGGAAAAAAACCCAACACCCTTATTTATAACTCACTACTTCCTGTGAGCAATGATGGGCTGTTTAAAAGATGGTACTTCAATGAACGAGAAATAAAATCTTTGGAGAGATAATGTGTTAGGCACAGAATTTCCCTTTACTCTTTTCAGGCCCACCCATAAGAAAATCTAGTTTCAGTTATTTGCAGCAGCTATTCATCTACTGTTACTTTTGGTACGTCGGTAACACCTTTTCTCCCCTGAATCAGTTATTCCAGTTTGAGTAATTAAAGAGTAAAGAAGACCTCCCTGAGAGGCTGATGATTCCAGAAGTGCTTCAAAGTCCTCCATGACTTCACCTTTCAACCCAGCTATGGACAATAGTGATTGTACCAATATATGGAAGTTCTCCTAGATCACAGTGAGGCTTCGGACAGCGAAAGACATCTTTGTAGATGCCTTGGTGCTTTCAATGCAAATACAGTAATTTGCATTGAAGACTGAAGGCACCAGGGAGGCATCTAAGGCAACTTCCCGCTGAGCAGCACACACACAATGGGTTTCCGGGTCTCAAAGAACTAGAGGCAATCTCCAGAAATTGCTATTCTTTTCTTGATCTACAGACATGGAAGTAAATCTCATAGTGAGCAGCACAGAAGGAAATAGTATGATCTGCCTGGTTGTGAGGTAATGTCAATGGCTGGGCACTCTTGTCCACTCGTACCCAGCTAGTGCCAGGCTCAGATTGAAAGCATGCATGTTGCTTCGAGTGGCAGAATGGGTCCCAAAACTGGCACCCACCAACGCTTGCCCCTTGTTCTTCTCCCTGGCCTTTCGGCATAGTGTCATTGGACCCATTTTGGCCTTTCTCAGATTAATCTGCTGTAAACTTTTTATTCCACCCTCTGGCTTTGCGGAAGGTTTTTTTTTTTAAAGGCCAGCTTGGATGATGGTTTTCTTCATTACTTGTGCTACTGCTTACAGAATCTTTTGAACAAATTTGTTCCCATTTGTGATTTTAAAAAAAGGAATATGGAAGCATAAATGTACAAAATAAACATGTGCTCTCTAAGCACAGTGTATTCGTAACAGATTTATTTTCCTTGTGACTGTATTTTTTAATAATTTAATACAGTTCCTTTAATAGCTGCACTCATCTAGTTGATTGAGACTGTTAATTCTTTCTCTCAAGGCTTGTGGTCAGATCAACTAGCTATTTATTTCGCTTACTTAAAAAGCCAAGCTGTGAGGGCAGGCAGGGAGCTGCATTTTAATTTATCCCCGTTACCACATGTCATGAAACCGGAGGCCTGCAATCCTGTTCAATTGCCATGAATAAACACCCCTTCACACAGGACTTAGAATTGAACTTCTGATTAAAGTACTTTTTCTGCTATGGGCTGGCTCCATTTTTACAGCAGATTATGCCTACCAGTCTGACACACAGGAGATTTTTAAAAAACCCTTTTTGATTGTTGATTGCAAAGAATAATTTGCACTGCTTTTCATCATGTAACAATTTGCTGCAGATTCTTACTATAGTAAGAAGATGGTTTATGATGTTGTTTTAGCAACATTGTAAACAAGCCCTAAGAGAACAACAGTAGTGATGAAAGCAGTGGTGTGGTTTGAATAGAGCTATTCATCGTGACAGTCCCCACTGCTACCAACACTTCTGCAAGCATAATACACAAATGAAATCAGCCATGTCAATTCATATAGACAACTGAGAAGCAGGTCTTTTGTAAAGTTAGTATCTCTTAATTGTCTATTCACACCCAACCCAAACCCCGATGGCTTTGCATTACAACAGGAATAATCATAGTAAGCACATGCCATCAAGTCAATTCTAACTTATGGTGACCCTTTTCAGGGTGATCCAGGTAAACAGTACTCAGAAGTGGTTTATCATTCCATCCTTCTGGGGGGCACCCTTGAACTGTGCAAATTGTCCAAGATCACCTCAGAAGTGGTTTACCATTCCATCCTTCTTGAACTGTGCAAATTGTCCAAGATCATATAGGCTGGCTCTACTCACTGGAGGCACAATGATGAATTGAACTCCCAACTTCTTAAAATACCAGGAAGTTATGTTGAACGCAATTCAGCTTTCCTCTTTTAAAAAGGCGCTTGTTTTCCCTGTATGAATGAATGACAGGTATTAAGTTACATAGAAGAAAGTAAAGAGATGGCTTCCAGACATAAAGAAACCAATGGCTCCTGTCTGTATACTCTCTATTTCATGTCAACTCCTGAATGTGACAAAAGAGAGTGGGCTGGTGGATGCTTTGAAGTCTTACAGACAAAGAGCCCCACTTCACTCCTACTTCGGAAAGCAGTTAAAGGCAGCCATTTCTGGCAAAGAAGAACATAGAGGCAAGCCGATGCCCTTTTCCAAGCTATGCAGACATTCTCAGAGACTACCAATGAAGAACCACAACATTCACAACGTTGGCATTTGTCCTCGTTTTCCTTCCTACCACCAACACTGGTGGAGTTCTGAAAGCTTCTCACATGACACCATGAAATGAACTGCCAAGGCAAAATCGCTTAACACAGGATCCCTCAAGCTGTGCTGAGTTCACAGAAAGCAGAAACTCTTTCAGGGACACTGAAAACTGAGCTTTTTTTTAAAGTAACACTTTCTTTTACAAATGAATTCTAGGTTTTCTTCCCCAATTCAATTCAGATGGAAGAGAGTTGAAGAGTACAAGTGTGGAAAACAGCTTTGAGATCAACTGGTAGCCAGTAAAGTTTAAACCCCTGTCTCATCTCTCTGACAGAAAGGCACTATAATTACGATTTGTCCTTACAGGGGTAATATAATAGAAAGTGGGGGGATCACTCTTCTCTGAGACACATCTGTAGGAAGCATGGATTTTGGTTCCAGTAATTGCTGAAATGGCAATGTACATCTCTGAACTTCACCAAAATTGTTTCCAGGTAGCTGGATTATGGAGGGAGCCAGAGAGTTCTACATCTACTTCTGCTTCATTGACTATGCAAAAACCTTTAACTGTGTGGACCACAGCAAACTATGGCAAGTTATTAAAGAAATGGGAGTCCCTGACCACCGTATCTATCTCCTGAGAAATCTATATGTGGGACAGGAAGCAACAAAACTGGATATGGAACAACTGATTTGTTCAAAATTGGGAAAGGAGTACGACAAAGGCTGTATATTGTCTCTGTGCTTATTTAACTTATATGCAGAATACATCATGCGAAAGGCTGGACTGGATGAATCCCAAACGGGAATTAAGATTGCCGGAAGAAATATCAACAACCTCACATGTGCAGATGATACCACTCTGATGGCAGAAAGTGAGGATGGCATGCATAACCGAGATGTGGCTTAATGGGGAGGGTGGCCCTCCCCTGGCTCTCATCTGCCCGCCCGGTTATGCCGTCCAGCACCAGGGTAGACTGGAGGGATGGGGGGGAGTAGCCATTGTCTATAAATCCAGCTTGGAGGTTACCAGGCACTCCTCGGTGGTAAGGCCGGGTCTAGAGGCACTCCACATGTCGATAGGGGCCAGGGATGGAATTGGGATTTTGCTGGGCTACCGTGCCCCCTGCAGCCCAGCCACTTCCCTTCCGGAGCTGGCTGACTTTGTCTCCGCAGCATTGTTGGGATCCCCGAGGCTTTTGGTCTTGGGTGGTTTCAACGTGCATGCGGAG